TCGCTGTGCATTAGCGACCCCTTTGTAGTACGGACAACTACCTCGCGGTCCACCTGCTTCCGTCCACCGCTTTCGTACCGTTAATGCCACCTCCATGCCCGGCAGAGAACAGATGAACGTTGCAACGACTAAGTTTTCCCAGGCGCTGTGTTGCCACTGGTCTTCTACCTCAATGACTTGACCTGCACAGCGTCTGTAGACACAAAAAAAGAGAAAGAGACTTTCGAGATCACGACCTAACCGGTCCCCAACAAATGAGCTTATATACAGGCGACTTGTCAGGGCAACACGTGAGGTACGGGAAACGTGAAGTCGTCTCCTTAAGCATCGCTAGCAAATGCCTGAGTAATTTTGTAAGAATTCTTTCGTTTTCATGAACTATGCGAATCTGCAGAAAGCACAGATAAAGAGGAGGACCAAGAAAAAAAATGGGGCAAGCTTGATTTTTTCAATGATAACCGTTCATTACGCATAATGTCACGATGAACAATTAAATTTTAGTTGCCTTGAGGAAATTGTTACACGCGGAATATCAAATGGGATCAGTGCGTCTGTGGTAGGATACATGACTCCTCTAAATTGAAATTTCTTTTGGCAGTTTACAGAATTTGTTTGTATTTCGGTTTTTGTGATAAAAAATAAGTTTCATGTTTGATATACCAAAAATACATATATTTGCCGAATATGTCTCAGTTTCCATTGGCCTTCATATTAATCTTTGCCGAACAATTGAGTGGTGGATTCTAAGGTGAGCAGCAAGGCGGAAACTCGAAGTCGGAATTCGGAATTATCCTGGCACATTATGGAAGACATACACACCACATATAAGCGCCGTATTACATTTTAAATATATTTTATCAGACTCTAACCTTTGCACTCAAGTAGGTATTGATAATTTACCACAATGATGATTGGAATATCTGTCAATCTCACAAAAAGTAAAGCTTAAAGATCTACCATTTTAATTCACAACTTTTAAGCAAGGGTTTTTATCAGGTGGAAAGTACTTTTTGTTCCCTGTAGCAGCTCTTCTAGTCATACTCGCAATACACAGCGGGTCCTAGATAGAACTTCTCATTATCACCTTCGCCTTCCTGCGTCATCGTTGCAATAACGTATCTTTGGCCCTTTTTTCTGTCATATCGTTAAACCGCAAAATGTCGTTACAACAAGGCGACGTTAACTTCAAATAAACGAAACCGTCGGGACCAACTCTGTGCCTGCCCTGTTTCTTTCTCCGAATAGCGAAAATATTCAAAAAGGGATTGATTGAGTGGTCGAGTTCGGGCGGGTCGGACGGATCGATGTGGCTGTGCTGATGTTCACGAAGAGAAGGGGGTTCGTTCAACGTTGCTAAACAAAGCTTCGGCGCTTCTCGTCGCTATTACCTCTGCCCATCGGCTCGAACGATTTTGCCGAGTTCGTGTATCATCGTCAAAGTATCTGAGCAGTGCCAAGTCCCTGTCGACCGCAGCTCGGAGTTACCCCTGGCCGGCCGTTTCGCGTTAGTTATTAGCTAGAAACTCGCTGCCGTCAAGCACAGCGAACGTCACTAGCAATGGAAACGGCAGCCTCGCCAGAAAAATCCCAGTAAGGTGAAGTAAGTTGAGTGATAGGGGTGATGAGCAAAAACCGAAGAGTAAGATTAAAAAAACTCAAAGAGAACTTAAGCCTCAAGCCAGTATTCCCCGATTTTCCCTACACACACGTGCGCATTTTCAGTAATAATCTTGCTGCAGTTTCGTACCTGTTTTACGACCACATATACCGTATAATAAGATTAGCCGTTAAAGAAAAGAGTTCTTTGAAGAAGAGAAAGTTATCTTCCTTGAAAGCAATATAGAGACAAATGAGGATAAGATGACCTCGCACTCTTCTTATTAAGCAAAGAAAAAAAGTTCCTACCTATTTCGCGATGACAAGCAGCTATGTACGATACATAAATATATTTACACCGTGACCGCTACCATTACAGATGATCGCTAGTATGTTCAAAGGTGCGACGCAGAAACGCATAAAGCTTCTGACAAAAGCCATGGAGCAAAGTGCGCAATTTATCCATCTCACATAGCATTACTAACAGCATTAACAATGGTAAGCGATGTAGACGACAGCTAACAAACTTACAATGCCATTGTTCGGACATTAAAGAGAGAGGAAATGGATGCGTCATAGATGGTGCTGAATAGCGTGGTTTACACAAGAGATTTTTCGCTATGAAAAATTTTCAGTCATCTTTTTGAAGTATTATCTTCTTGCCTGGTATAGCGCAAAACTGTAACAAATGACCAATACAATGGGGAAGTACAATGATTTCAGACGGACATTTGAGGCTTAACGGCCGTACCCGACGACGATTGGATTCGGTTGCATTCATGGTGGTCATGTGGTAACGGCAATACTGCAAACGCAATCCAGATAAACTCATTCGACCTGAGCCGTCTAGCGTGGAAGAAAAGTACACATCCGACAGCTCCAGCGTCTGACGTGGTTGGGGACAGTCGGAGTAGCAGTCTGAACGCCCCAAAAGTTTCTGGCTAAACAAGAATGCAGGGGGCAACGTGGGTACAGAAGGAGATTGTCCCTACCCAGAAACAGTTCTGGGATTCGCTGCAGGCCGTTGGTCTGTGTGCGATTTTGTCCTGTCAGAACGCCAGCCAGAGTGGTAGTGATAATGGTACGCAGGCCTTCGAAGGACATGTTACGGGTGAGAGAGGACGTGCTATCCGCCTCCCAGGGAAGTAAAAGACGTAGGCAGCACGTTAGAGAGCAGGCCTCGAAACTTGTTGTGTAATTACAACTTTGGCGTTTTCGTGGGATAGGTTTGAGGATTGGGGGAAGCCACAGAAAAGCAGCCAGCCGTAAGGCAGCGAGCCGTTTTTATTCTCCCTTTCCTGCCCATCCTAGAAAAGTCCAGGCTGCCCTTAAAACTGAAACAATCGAAAAAAGAGTTCTGTTCTCTAGTTTGCCAACGCCATGCACAGAACTCCGTTGTTGACAACATTATTATCCTCCAATCAGTTCTGTGCCTAAATTTACTCAGGCGTTTCTGCTTTTTACTTTTTCGCCTACGTTACTCCATATACTAAATAAGCGTCACAGGAAGACATCGTGAGAAAGTGTAATATAGTGCTTCAAGTCGTGTAGCATTGGTGCCTTGTTAGGAGTAACATAAAAAAGCTTGATGCATTTTTAAAGTACATAATGTTTAGCAGACTCTAGGGGTTTTAAGGCGCCCTAATGAATCACTAGGTAATCACTAGATCTTCTATGGAGAAACTGTCGTGAAAAAAATTCAACTAACCTAGCGGCCAGGATGACAATAGACAACCTTTGAATAATCGGATTATTACAAAACGCAGTATTTAAAAAAAAATCATAGCGACTAGTTAGAGCACCCTAGAGCAGTTAGTTCTTTATTACATTTGTTACAGGTTTGAACACTCATTTCATTAAACTATTGCAGTAGGACCATCACAGAGCAATTTTGTTGGGGTTATAGGGCGCTCCTCTAGATAACTACGGTAGGTAAACTTCATGTACTGCATATGGTTGGCTTGCTCATAGCTAACTTTGAGACAAACTTTCTAATATTTTTCAAGAACTTGGATCGCCTGATAATTAAGTGGGATGGCTGTCTGACGATTAACACGTTACTGCCGACTAAAACATATTTTACACTCGGCCGTTATTCCTGTGATTGTTATAGTCGCCGGCGACGGTAGCGGACGGCAAATTTGCTGCGTACGCGCTGCGGGCGTCGTGTTTGCCACCGATTGTATGTTGGGACGTAGTTGCATCTTTCTTTGTCTCTCCTCGTCTGGTTAACGACTACAGCAAATAGATGCCCTTCTCGGCTGCTGCTGCTGCCGCTAGTCAGCTGTAGCCAGCTTGTCGGCGACGTGTAGCGAGCAGCGAACAGCTAGCCCAGATTCACGATCCCATACGACTATCCCATCGTCGTCCTATGCACCAGCTACACCCCTTTGCTTACCCCGCAAACTCCTGTAGCCCCTCATTTTGCCACTCGCTTCCGTAACTATTCTCCCAGCTGGCTGATCTCCCCTCTAAAATTAGCTCAAGAGCCACGGACTGGTAAGCAAGCAGGAGCTCGCTAACGGCCGGTTCGTTCGTTGCCACGCCGACTGAGTGGCTCGCCTAGCCGGCCTTTTACGCTGGGTGGCTTTCTATCGCCATGTCTCTTTCTCTCGCTTCTTCGCACTTGCGTTCTAGCGCTACATTTCTAAACACTTTCTATCGTAACCAGAAATCCCTGCGCTCGTCGCAAAGCCTTGTTTTCGTAGTTACCACCACTTGGTCCGCCTTTCTCAGGACCACCAACAGGAACAGGAGCAGCAGTCACGGTGGCGGCCGCAACACCTCCTCCGCCGTCTGATTCTGGCTCTCCACACTACTCAGACTCATCGGCACGCAGCGCCGCTGTAGGCTCTGCAAATACCGCTATTACAAGAGCAATGGGTGGTGCCTCTAGGAATGAGGTAGTAGCTTACTTGCACACATTATCTTACCTTCATAGACTCACCAGCATACATATAAATTGCCCGCCAGCCAGCTTTATACCAACTGCTGCTGAGTTATAAAGAGGTAAACATAGATGGCTACAGGGCTGAGGGGGCTGAGCCGTGGGTTTAGCATAGGAGTAACGTGTATTGAAGTGGGCCTTGCCGCCCCAGTCGACCCACAAGTAGGAGAGGCGCAAGCTCATGGATAAGAGTGGAAGAAGGTCATGGAGACTGTGCGTGTTTGTGTGTATCTGTGCTTACTTTTGCATTTGTATACACAAGAGTTCGTGTGTGCCTACCGAAGGGTGCCGTGCCACCATGAAAAAGAAGGATATCTCAGATAGTGCTGTGCTCTTTGGGAATGAACGGGTACGACTGGGGAGGGGAATAACTGGCATTCGCGGTAAGGAACATAACAGGGCAAGACAAGCAGGGTCGGGACGGAACGGGAACAAATGCTCTCGTGTTGGTGCATACCTAAATATGGAAACATCGCCGTGCGCCACAAGCGGGTCCCCTTCTTACGTCGTATCCAGCCCCGACGAGCGCTGCTCAGGAGGCGTTGTAGCGGTCAGTAACCATGGTGGCCACAACTGGTTTGTGCCAACGGTAGCTGCTCTTTTTGCTGTTGCTAGTTGTGAGGGTGAAGATAATGGTCGTCTTTGTCCTAAGCCGGCTGCTGATGCCGTTCGAGGTGAAGCTAATCTGCCGGCGGGGCAAAAAGACGCTTCGGGCCCTGCTTCGCGGCCCAAGAACCGTGGTATTTGCAGTATTAGCAGGGTCGGTTGGGCTTCTATCCTGGCGGTTGCTGTTGTAACAAGTTGTTGTAGCAGTAGTAGAAACTGGGGATGTTGGTAGTATCAATAATGATAATAACGGTCCATATAAATGAGACACAAATTCCATCGGTGGTGTTAATTGCTGCTGATCTCTGGCAGAATATATATCGGTTTATATAACAAACGTAGAAAAGGGAAGAGGAAAGAGAAAAACGCTTCAAAACAGCGAGGTTACCGGCGACTCGCCTCTGGTCTTCACAGCCACAAGCAAAAACGACAATAGCGATTTTTTTCCTGACGCCGCCTGAATTACTTTTAACTGTAATCTTCTTGTTCTTCTTTTAATGTCTTCAGAAACAAACACAAGTTATTAGTGACCTCAATTGAACCAATGGTAGTGATTGTAACAATAAAACGACTTTCACGATAGGAACGCTTCGTTGCTATTGCTCCTTGATAATTAGATGAACAATAAGTAAGCTACGGACATATACAGGCTCACCACCAAAAATAGGTGTAGTGAGCATCTGTATGTGGCACATTTGCTGGTGCCAATTCTCGTTGCGAAAATTAGATAATTCGCTGACTTAGTCTGAGTCTGCCTTCGTGCGGATAGAGGTCGTCGATAACGAAAGCTGTTCGGTGATGACCAATCGAGTACGATGAACAAATCCACTTCCGACAAATAACACGTATCTTTCTTAAAAACACTTATTTATTTATTTTCTCTGCTTCTTTCTATATTAGACACACACAAACGCAGGCACGCACTAGGATAGATTATCACGATTCACGAATACATCACGACGAAGACTTCAGAAGGCCCAAAACAATAATGCACTCCACGCGACATGTCAACAGCGTTTCAAGCGGTTGGGTGCCTACCGTGCACAAAAGCTATGAAATGCAACAAATCATTGATTTTTCAGGCTTCCTGTTGTCTCGGTTCGCTTCTTTTATGGTTTTTCTGATTATTGGTTCCTTGCCGAGTGCTACCTTGAAAATACGCCTGCATTTTCGTTCTAACCTCTCACTTCTTTTTTTGTATGAAACTTGTCTAGCCTCTGATTGAATTTTCGCGGATCTTCTGATTGTATGGTTACTGTTGCTCTCTTCATTAGCTCTTCATAATCTTCTGCTGGTGGCTGTCCGTTGTTGCAAAATCTCGCGCTCATCGTTTTTGTTACTGTTGTTAGCCTCCTTGTTTTTTCGTAACTTTTTTCTCGATTCAACTTAATTTCGTTTTTCCCGCTGTTCTGTTCGACGGAAACTTAAGGTTGTTGTTGCTGCTGCTGTTATGACTGCAACTACTGTTACCGTCATATATCTCCACAATGATACGTTTGCAACTCAACAAAGTTTTGTTGAAGACCTTCTTCAGTGATTCTGTTGCACAAATGTGACCGGCATCCGTCACAACAGCGGAATTTGATTTTGTGACGATGTTGTAATAGGTTAAATGACGAGCGATTAGGGGGAACCTAATTTGTTATGGTCGTTTTTCGATTCGATTCGGCTGTTAATGATAATCGGCAGGGCTTCAAATGCCGGCTTGCTTTCACGCTTGCCGCTAGGGTAGTTGTTTGTTGGCGTAGCTTGTCTGTCTGCTTACGCGTGTGTGTGTGTGTGTTTGTGTGTGTATCTGATGTCTGTGGTTGTGCTTTCTTATGGAAGACTGACCACGACCTTCCTGTTCGGACAGCTAGGAGCGGCGGCCCATGCCGGCCTCGTCGTTGGAGCCTCTCTGGCCCTGCCCTCTCCTCGAGCCTTTATAGATGCTGTAAAACGGCTGCCTTTCCACAAGCGCGTCACCAATGCCTGGGGTGCAGTTCTGTACCGCCTCCACCGGGCCCTCTTACCCCAGTGAGAGAGGGTAGATAATGCTTTCCTCCTCTTTTAGTTCGCCTCATTCCATCGCAGCACCGAACGTAGTTGGCACTACTGGAAGCTGCAGTAGAAGCTGGAATTGCCGCTTGCCGGTAGTAGTGTCGCTAGATGTGGAAGAAAGTGGCTTTAATTTAACTGTAACATGGACAGTAAGAAGGAGAGCTCACATGAGCGGCGAAAATAGCAGCGCCCGCCGCGACATCTTGGGCACCGCGTAATTTCCAATGTACTTATACGTCAGGTAACACAAGGTTAAACTTGCTTGTGATAGGGTTCTATGTGGTGTGGGTAGAAGTACTAGGCAAGTAGGAACGAATACCGAGCAAGTTTTTGTCGCAAAAGCGAAGGAAAAATGTCTACAAACAGCAACTACATCGCCTCTTACAACCTGGACTACTCTTTACTAGGCACTAGCCCATATTCTCCCTTTCCCTGCAGTAGCTGCTTCACCTGCAGCTTCCCGTCTGAATTTCCCTGCTAGGTCTTGATTGCCAGACAAGTAGTATAGCGACAAGCCCAAGTTTCGGCTGAAAAAGCTTAAGTACTTACACCAGGTGACGCGACCTACCGATCAACCTACGGCAGGTCAAAGTGCCGTAGTCTAATGGGCAGATGCAACTCTCGTGGATGACAAACGATATGTACGACAAACGAGACGCGCTGGCATTCCTGATAGTCGTGTTGACCTGTGCGACAGAGTTTCATCGTCGCTTTTCTTTCGTTCATCGCCTCATACGCACCAATTCCTGTTCATGCTAAAATAGCATTCTTTGTTGCATTTGCTGCAGATGCTGATACGGCACCACGACCAGAAAAGTCCTTCCCTTTATTTTCTCTACAGCCATTTTTAACAGAGACACCACCTAGTATCATTTTGGGAGAGGAAAGAATGATAAAAATGGAGGTAACTATTTACTAAAACGGGAACATAATATGTCATCACCCTGCTTGCCTCTCAGCAGGTCTCTCTATTTCGGGGCAGCGTAAAGCAGCTTACTACCTTGAAGCTGTTTGCAGTGGCAGAGCGTAACCAGTGATTTTCTATCCGGAAAGAGGATGTCCTTCACGACAATCATCGTCATAATAATAGTAGCGCTTACATTTGAATGATCCCCGTTTCGTACAGGACTCACCAAGACTTATTTTACTGTTCTAATGTCGATAGGAAAGCCGTCATCACTCCTAAAGTTGCTGGGAAATTCGTGTGTATATAGCGGCGAGCGCAAAAGTGGATGAAGAAAAAAAATCAGGTTGAGCCCGTTCCCTGACCAGATATTTCGCACAAATCTCTCCACATAAATGATCGGTAACCGGCTTGTATTCCTGAGCTAGGCTTGCAAGGTCAGAAGTGGTAAAAATATATTGGTAATGCTTTACCACTTGTTATTAAAGATGTTAGTCATGTGTTTTATTAAAAAAATGAACTTTTCCAATGACTGGAATCAAACACAATTGTTCGAGATTTCTAGCTACGTTTAATGCTTTTACAATTTCTCGATAGTGTAGCAAGGAACGTATAGATATATATTCAGTATCAATGAAGCACAAGTATATAGGGTGTTTCAAAATATGAGATTAATTTTTAAGTCCAATGAAGGCAACATTTTTCCAACACAATCGAGTACCTGTTTAATAAACGTGTTTAAAAAATAACTCTTCAGATATTACTAAAGACTTACTTACATTAGCAATGAGAATACATGGGCGGTCAAAAACCGATCACTTCGTTAGCTATATTTTTGTCGATAGCAGAACAATTGCTGGAAATCCGGATCATTAACTACAGTAGACGATTGACACTGGCAAAGAAGTGTGGCCTCGTTTATAAATACTGCTGTTCGGTGTTCCTGTTAGTTACCTTATTTGCTACTGTTAGTTTTTTTTTTTTATCTGGTATTGGCTTGATCGTAACAGGAAAACATCTTCTATCGGCCCCATTTGAGTTTATCATTCGGACACTATTGGGCACGTTAAACAAACACAACCATTTTCGGTTATAATAAATAACAGCTGTAAGAGGTCGCTCGTCGTCTCTACCGCCCGCATTTTCTCTCCGTTATAATTCTGCTTCACAGAGGAAAAACAAATATCGGTTTCGTCAACGATTGAAACTTCAATCAGATATTAACGAAATGTACTTTTGTTTTATTTCATTATGTCTAACGGTTTCAAAGTTTGCCATATCGAAATTAAATGGCAAAGCGAAAAACAAGAGTAAAAATCTCTCTAGGAAACGTTTCTTAACCTCCATCAAAGATTGTACAAAACAATAACTTCTGCCTATGCTAATTTTATCACTGTACTCGTAGATGATTCATTATGGATTCGAACTTCCGGCAGGTTGCTGCGTTATGCTATCATCCTCTTCTGTTTTTTTTTTAAATCCTTTACGCCAGTTGAAAACTCACTGTGCCCTCGTGATGCCACTCAGACTGGGTCTAAATCTGAATGATATCTATATTCATATATGTATCCGGGTTAATTTATTATGAAAAACCCAGTGGAAGGCTGGCTAGAAATATTAGCAAAGTAGTTAGCTTGACAAAGGCGTCTTTATCTGGTTCGTAGAGCAGATCATTTGAAAATATGTATAACCCCCTACAATGAAACGGCTTCTGGGAGGTGGAGCCGGTCCACCAAGAAGATCCGCTCTTGAATATTCTCTACTTAATTATCAGACAAACAAACAAACAAACAAAGTCATGGGCTAAACGTTGACTATTTTAATATTCACTTCGTAAAAACAGGATCGCTTTAAAATCCAACTCGCCTTGGTATCGCCCTACAATGTGCTAGAGCCATTCACCTATTTATTATTAATATCTAGCGGCAACAAATCAAATCTCTGACTGGTTTAATTAAAGGGAGCCGCGAAATTTTTTACAAGGAAATCCACGAGCTGCCTGATTAATGGAAAAATATTACAGATGATAACGCTTATTTGATTGATTGAGATCTTAACCCTATTTTAGAAAATAAAATTTAACATTGCTCAATAAGGCATATTCGTGCACCTAATAGTGGTCACCCAAAAACGGTACCATATTGGATCTCTCACAATAATTTAAATTGCAATGGTGCTCTTAAATAAATAAGGATTCACAAGGAAAAAAAATGTAAGATTTGTAATCGTGTCAAAGAAACAATACGTTAAGCCTTGTATACACTTGAAATAAATAATCCTTTACAAATGCCATGTTCATATAATTAATCAACGTCCGCTTATAGTGGCCTAAAATATCAGAACGGAACCTTGTTTGGTAATTTAATTAATTTCAATTTTATAAACTGGAAACGAAAAGCGGGAAGACAAACGTGCACACAAAGTATTTGGCAGGCAATGAAAGGTGACAAAAAGAAAAGAAGGGAAAAAGCCGTCAGATTGCAGGTCCGAGCCTTCTCGAAAAAAAATATCTATTTTAATTTTTTGGCTGCCCTTGGCAGTCCTATACTATAATAAAAGGCCAAAAACAGCAAATTCTTCAGCGCAGTTCAAAGCGTCCCAATCTGCCAGATCGGTTTTAGTGAAACTTTTAGACCGTAGTGATCTTTTAAAGCAAAGTAATTAGAATTATTTGAAAAAAACATATTTACAATGATGTTGAAAATAATCGTGATGGCTTACTTATTAGTTACTATTATCGGTTAGTTAGACAAAAGTACCTCAAATTTAAGCAAATAAACCTTACTCTTCAAATACGTTTACTATGTACAAATGTGCTCAGAAAGGAGTGGAAATATATAGTTTCGATTTAGGTTCATACCTACCTATTTCAATATATAAAATTAATCGTCACAGGTACTTATCAGGACAGAGCTGCTAATAAAATACCAAACACTACGGACAGACAATAACAGTACAAAAAAAAGATGCAAAATAATAAGCCTTACTCGTTAGGCGGTGACAGGACAGAAATTATGAAAAGGACAACGCACTTGATCGTCGTATTGCAGCTTCGCGAAACAACTCTTCTCTAGCCGACTGCACTACGTATAAGGTTCTTCTGTGATCTCAATCCTGGCACCCTTCCAAAGGTATCAGATTGTAGTGAAATTCCCCTTTCCCACGCTGCGGGGAAAAGAGCGCTGCGCGTGATATCGTATCCCTTTACGCAAACATCTCCGAGAAGCAGTTTATGGGGGCCGAGAAGCTAATTGAATGTGCAGTTAAACTGCCGTAGTAAGTGACTTCTGTCCTGACGCTCTGTATCGATGATCAAACAGGTCCCCAGTCGTACCTCAGCCATAAGCCTGAAGGCCGTCTAAAGCCCTTTGGGAAATGCTGCAAGTACAGGTGGACTACGGAGTATGCTTCCAGAGAGGATGGAAAAACTGCATTGTAAATTGGAGATTTTTAACCAGACGCTGCGCATAGGTTTCGCTATTTATCATGTCAAATACAGGGAAAACTCCAGGGGTGCGTTTAAGGAGCTTGTCTACATCTAGGCGTTGGAACCGAGCTTGGCGTTCGCGCAGGTGCAACTTCTACTGTCATCGCTATCTACGAATCGGTATGTTGCGAGCTCTGAATGTCTGAAGGGTAATATTTTCACCCTTAAACTTTAGCGTATTTCTGGTTACATTCGTCGCAAATATATCAACAATCAATCTTCCCACCGCAGCGCCGAAAGAGGGGACTTCGGTACAATGCTACATATTTCAACAAAATTTCGCAGCGCAATAACTACTGCAAGGTTAACAAGAAGGTCTTCTCAAACGAGCATCTCAAATGCGCCGTTTCTTTATACCATGTTAAGCGGCACCATTTGGTGTTTATGTACACGCACACATTCAGCCCAGTGGAGAAATGCTATTTT